AGGAAACTTTACAGTTCAAAAACCTGACAAACACTACCTCATCCAGGTGACCAAGATTAACATCACTAGTGATAAGGTATCTTGATCATATGTACCCTTTATTATTTTAAAGATTTTATTTATTTATTTATTTGAGAGTGAGAGAGAGAGAGCATGAGCACAAGCACAAGAGAGAGAGCACAAGGGGCAGAGGGAGAGAGAGAAGCAGACTCCCTGATGAGCAGGGAGCCTGATGTGGGGCTTGATCCCAGGACCCCGGGATCATGACCTGAGATGAAGGCAGATGCTTAATGGACTGAGCCACCCAGGTGCCCCTGTTCATTTATTTATTTAAGTAATCTCCATACCGAATGTGGGACTCAAACTCACTACCCCAAGATCAAGAATCATATGCTCTACCAACTGAGTCAGCCAGGCACCCCTAAAAGAATAATTTTTAAAATGTATACTTAGGGCGCCTGGGTGGCTCAGATGGTTAAGCGTCTGCCTTCGGCTCAGGTCATGATCTCAGGGTCCTGGAATCGAGTCCCGCATCGGGCTCCCCGCTCAGCAGGAAGCCTGCTTCTCCCTCTGCCTCTCTCTCTCTCTCTCTCTCTGTCTCTCATGAATAAATAAATAAAATCTTAAAAAAATAAAATAAAATAAAATGTATACTTAAAAGTGTGTAACCAATGAAGAAAAATGTAGAATAATGGAAAATACTTAATCTAAAGGAATACAAGAAAGAAAAAATAAAGAACAAATAACAGATGATATAAATGGAAAATTAATAACAAGATGGTAGATTTAAATATAACTATATTACATATAATGTAAGTGGACTAAATAATTCAAAAACAAAGATTATCCAACTTGAAAATTAATCAACTATATGCCATTTATAAGAAATATAGTATAGATATAAAAACACCCAGTAAGTTGAAAATAAAAGTATGGAAAAAGATATACCACACAAACACTGTCTGAAAGAAAGTTAGTATGATTATGTTAATATCAGACAAAGTACACTTTAAGATAAGAATTTCTTGACATTTCCTTTTTAAACTAGCACTCTCAGGAACATCTTTTATACATGTGTCTTCACACAGTGTATTACATGCATTATAGTGTGGTTGACACATTCTTTCACTGAAAACAGTACCCTGATGCAACAAACTACTAGCATTCTTAGAAACACCTTTTATACACATGTCTTACATGTACAGTACTGTAGTGAATACTGATGTAGCACTGTCCTTATTCACATGTGCAACTAGCACAAAGAGGGACATTTCTTAGTCATATGTGTTGGCCAAACAGAAAATATAGCAGTCTTACATTTGTTTGAACCTAAAAACATAGCTTCAAAATATATAAATCAAATGTTGACCAAACTAAAAGAAGAATAGACAATTCCACAGTGGGATTATACTAGAAATGAAAATGAATCAATAAGAAAAAGATAACTAGAAAATCTTCAGTAGTTTAGAAATTAAACAACATACTTCTTTTTTTTTTTTTAAAGATTTTATTTATTTATTTGACAGAGAGAGACATAGCGAGAGAAGGAACACAAGCAGGGGGAGTGGGAGAGGGAGAAGCAGGCTTCCCGCTGAGCAGGGAGCCCGATGTGGGGCTCGATCCCAGGAACCTGAGATCATGACCTGAGCCAAAGGCAGACGCTTAACGACTGAGCCACCCAGGCGCCCCTAAACAACATACTTCTAAATAACTTATGGGTCAAAGAATAAATAACAGTGGGAATTAAAAATATTTTGAACCAAGTGATAAGGAAAATATGACATAAAAATTTGTGGAATACAACTAAAAGTTGCTTAGAGAGAATATTATAGCTTTAAATACATAAAAAAGAAGAGCTTTTGAAAATTTGTAATCTAAACTTCCATCTCAAGAAGGTAGAAAATGAGCAATTTGAATGCAAAAACACAGAAAAAGGAAATAGTAAATATAAAGCAGAAATCAGTGAAATAGAAGATGCATGTACAATAGTGAAAATGAACAAGGCCAAAAGGTTGTTTATTGAAAAGATTAATAAAATTGATAAACACCTAGTCTGATTTTTAAAAAAGAGATAAAACATTAATATTAATATCAATACTGAAAAGGAGACATTGTTACAGATCTAATGGACATTTTTTTAAAAGAAGATATGAACAACTCTGTGAAAATAAATTCAACAATTTAGATGAAATGGACTAATTTGTCTGGGGGCAAGGGGAGAAGTTTTCCAAACCTGCCACACTAAGAGAGACTCTGGAGTCCTATATATAATACATCAATTAAATGTTTAATTAAATATCTTCCTATAAAGTAAACTGCAGGCTGAGATGGCTTCAGTGGTAAATTCTTCCAAATATTTAAGGAAAAAATTAATACATATATTACACAGACTTTTCCAGAGATGAGAAAAGAGGGAGGCAACCGAATTCCTTTTATGCATATCTCAAATACCAAAACCTGACATGGACATTACTAGAAAGGAACATTACAGACCAACTTTATCTCTCAAAAAAGGATGCAGAACTCCTAAACACAATATTAACAAATAAAATCTGATGATTTATAGAAAGAATAATATGCCAAGTGGGGTATGTCTGAGGAATTCAAGGTTGATTTAACATTAAAAAATTAATATAATTTACACAGAAGACAGAATAAAACTATGTTTTCTCAATAGATGGGAGAAAAAAAGAATTTGATTTAAAGCAGAGACACATTCATGATTTAAAAAAAAAAAAAAACACTCTAAGAAAACTTGAAAGAGAAAGAACTTCCTTAATTTGAAAATGGCTTCAAAAACCCTTGGGCTAACATTTTAATTAATGGTGAAATATTAAAACTTTCCCAGGATTCAGGAACAAGACAAGGATGTCCACTATTACCACTTCTATTTAAGGTTACACTGAAGGTTCTCAACAGTGCCCTAAGGCAAGAAAAAGAAATATAAGATATAAAGATTGAAAACTGTCATTCTTTGCTGATGACATGATTGTGTGTGTAGAAAATCCAAAACAGTGAACAACACACTAGAATTAATATATGAATTTAGTATGGGGCAAGCAACAAATGACTAGGACATTTAAAAAAATAATTTAAGGGCACCCGGGTGGCTCAGTCCTTAAGCATCTGCCTTCGGCTCAGGTCATGATCCCAGGGTCCTGGGATCGAGCCCCACATCGGGCTCCCTGCTCAGCAGGAAGCCTGCTTCTCCCTCTCCCACTCCCCCTGCTTGTGTTCCTGCTCTCACTATCTCTGTCAAATAAATAAATCATTTTTAAAAATCCATTAAAATAGAATCAAAAAACTCATCTAGATACCTAGGAATAAATCTAATAAAAGTCGTTGAAGACCTATACACTGAAATACTAATTTTCCAATATACTTCCTAAATTTCTGAGAGAATTTCAAGTTTGAAGTAACTCGAAGTTTATACTATGCTCATTCATTGGAAAATTTAATCGAAGCGAAAGAAAGACTAACATACAGCTACATACAACAACACGGATAGATCTCATAGACATAATGTTGGCCAAAAGAAGACAGACGAAAGAGTACATATTGAATGATATCATTTTATATCAAGGTCAAGAACAATCGAAACTAATTTGTGGTGACAGGTGAAAACAAGCAGTTACCTTTGGGAGGTATTGACTGGGAAAGGGCGTTAAGTGAGCCCTCTGGGGTGTGGATAATGTTCTTCACCCTCATCTGGTGATGATTTTATGAGTGTATACACAGGTAAAAAGCTCACAGAGGCATGTATGTGTTTTGTATATTTTAGACTGTTATTTCCCAACGTTTAAAAAATTTAAAAAGAATATTTTTAAAAAGCAACGGGAAACCACTGAAAGGGTTAAAGGAGGTGAATGACATGATCCTGTTCATGTTTTAAAAATACGTTTTGGTGATAACCTACTGGAAGAGGGCGGGAGCAGAAACAGGAAAACCAGGTAAGAGGCTATATTGCACGGGTCTAGGCAAGACGTAATGGTTGCTTCGACTGGAGCCTTGACGATGGAAACCAGAGGACGCACTGGAGAGAAGTGTGGGAGCAGATCTGAAGGATATAGAGAAGCAGAGGTAAGTGTCACGAGTATCTTTTTGGGTATCCACCCTAGGAAATGGAAGACAAACAGCAGCGGAGTGCCGGAGGGGGGGAAACGGAACTAAAACTTGGGGTGGGAGTAGACCTCTTGAAAAAGATCAGCTGGGGGCCCCTGGGTGGCTCAGTTGGTTAAGCGACTGCCTTCGGCTCAGGTCCTGATCCTGGAGTCCCGGGATCGAGTCCCGCGTCGGGCTCCCTGCTCGGCAGGGAGTCTGCTTCTCCCTCTGACCCTAACCCCTCTCATGTGCTCTCTCTCATTCTCTCTCTCAAATAAATAAATAAAATCTTAAAAAAAAAAACCATTAAAACATCGCCCATATGGGGCGCCTGGGTGGCTCAGTTGGTTAAGCGACTGCCTTCGGCTCAGGTCATGATCCTGGAGTCCCGGGATCGAGTCCCACATCGGGCTCCCTGCTCAGCAGGGAGTCTGCTTCTCCCTCTGACCCTAACCCCTCTCATGTGCTCTCTCTCATTCTCTCTCTCAAATAAATAAATAAAATCTTTAAAAAAAAAAAAGAAAAAGATCAGTTGGGAGGGAGCTAAGGAATTCCTAAAGTGGGAGGCGAGGTCTGTCGGGGACAGCTGAGGCGGGGCCTGAGAAAGGGGCCTAACGGGTGCAAGTTTGGATAAGAAAAAGCTCTTGGGATTAGGGCGCGGACTGGAGAGGCGGGAACTTGGCCTCGTGAGGAGTGAGGCGATTGTAAGGACCCGACGGGGGAAGACGGCGAGGGCTAGGGTGCCAGCCGGGCACTGCCCGGGAAGCTCGGAAATGCCTGGCCTGGAGCGCGGGGGTGGGGGCGGGGGTGGGGGCGGGGGCGTCGGCCCGGCCTCAGCCCCCAGGCGGAACCAATTATGACGGCGACGAGGTTTCCCACCGGCGCTACAAAAGTGCCACACGGGAGGGGCGGCGTGCGCCGGCGTGACGCGGCCTCGCGGGATGGGCAGGGCCGAGGCTGAGGCGGCGACGGCGGCGGCGAGTGCTAGAGGCGGCGGCACGACGAGGGCCCTCAAGCCCGACCACCATGAGCACCAAGCAGGTCACCTGCAGGTCAGTGCGCGGCGCCGCGGGGGCCGGGAGCGTCAGGCCTCTTCGCTTCCCCTCGGCCCCCCCAACCTCCCCCGGGCCCCTGGCGGCCGGTGCACCCCAGCCCCACCGCCAGGGATACTGAGGCTGGAGCGGATTCCTGAGAAGTTGCTCAGCTGTTCGCGGTCCCGCTTTTCTGCGTGGAGCTCGCGCTGCGGCCGGAGCCGGGCACCCGGCGTGTGGGTGGCGGTGTGTTGCGGCCGAGCCCCCGGGCGACGCCAGCGCGGGGGCCTGTGGGCTGGAAGGGCGTCCTAGCCAGGGCGGTGCGGGGCGCTGGGGCCCGGGGGTGGGGGTGGGGCCTTTGGAACTTAGAGTTTAGCTGGAAAAGGAGATTTGGGTAAAGGGAAGCTGAGTGGTCGTTTACTGATGGGGATATCACGCAGGAATAGGTTGTTGATCGATGATAAGGGCCTCGAGGAAGCTGGGGTCCCGAAAGCGGGCTTCGTTTCCTAAGAGTTTTTAGAACTCCTGTGCAGCCTGAACTTGCGGAGTCGGCAAGTAAGAATTGTGCGGAAAATAATGGCGGGTAGCATTTACTGGAAGTTGGTGAAGTGCTTCGCATATTTCCAAGTGCTGTATATTCATTGTCACTACGCTTCATAGTAACGCTACTAGGCAGAAATGATGCCCATTTTACAGTGCAGGGCATTCAGCCTGAAAGAGATTACGTGATACTCTTACTGAGACACCCATTTACGTGGAGAAATACAACGGTAATGGATGGATGGTGTAGAAAATCCAAAACCGGATGCTGCGCTGTGACTGCTCCTGTGAGGCAGAACGAGCTTGGTTGTGTAACACCCTCGTTCCTTGGCGAACCTGTGGCTTAGCGGTACTGGGTGCCTAGTCTTACTGAACTGATACTTGGAGAGTGCAAATTTTATTTTAATAATTCGTTTCAGGAAAAACTGTGTGGGAAACATTGCCCCCAAAAATCAGTCGTATGGTTTGATTATGTAATAAACAGTTTAAGTATCATCTGTGTTGTTACTGTTCTTCATTAGCATGAATAATTGACTATGTAAAAAGTTTTCTGTTAGTATTAGTATATATTAACTGTTCAAACAGTTTATCCAAAGCCCAGTTGGCATATATGAAGCAGTTGTCAGAAATTTGCTCTTAGTGTCTATAGGAAATAGTTTTACTTGGTATTTGTGCTAGAAGAGCTTTTGTGAAGACCTGTGTGTGTTCATTTTTATTTGTATGAAGCAAGTATTCTAAGTAATTGTACAGCACATTCTGGTTACTCCTCTTAAGATGTGTCCACAAAAAAGTACACATTTATATAATGCTTTATAATTGAATCTCAACTCTGTGTAGTATCTAGTTTTATAGACAAATCTCGTGTTCAGAAGGACTTGAGACTGGCCCCTAACTTCACATCTAAATGCAGGAGCAAAAATTTAAATCAGGATCATCTTGGCTTTTTCCTTCTGCACTGGGAGATGGCCTAACCTGGAAGCTTTAATTCTGTGTTTCCCAAACAGAGGCATCCTGCAGGATGTCATTGCATATTAAGTCAAGAGTGGGTTGGAATGTTGGAGAGGGATCACTTCTGTTTAAGTACTAACTTGTTTGTTGGGGCCCGTACAATGTGCTGGGTGCTCTTTGAGGTGCTCTACCAGCCATATCACATGTAACCCAGCAACCCTCACTGTTCTACAGATTGTGAAATGGAGTCTCAGCAGTGAAGTGATTGCCCCAGGTCATTCAGCTTCTAAGTGGCCAAGGTGTGGCATCAGAGTCTATACTTTGATTGACTGGATGGCCTCCAAATAAATTTGGGAGATGCTAAAGTTTCTTCACTGCAGGAATTTTTAAAGCTTTTCACATGTGCATTTGAAAGGAAAATGCATGCAGAAACATAGAAAGTAAAAAAAAGTTTACTTGCAAAAGGGTCTGAAGGAGTCAGATCTCACAAGGATTGCCTCACCAAATAAAAAACAGAACACTTTTTTTTTTTTTTTTAAGATTTACTTATTTGAGAGAGAGCGAGAGCATGTGAGCGTGTGTGAGCATGAGCAGGGACAGGGGCTGAGGGAGAGAATCTGAAGCAGATCCCTGCTGAGTTCAGAGCCTGACATGGGGCTTGAATCCAGGACCCTGAGATCATGACCTGAGCTGAAACCAAGAGCCCCAAGAGGCGAACGCTTAACCAACCGAGCCACCTGGGCGCCCCCAAAACAGAAGACATTTAAATGAAAAAAACTGCAATATTACCTAGAGTACCAAGTTTACATTAATATTTCATGGTGGAAAAGCTTTTCTCACTTTATTATCTTATTCACTAAAGTCTTACTTCCAGACATTGGTAACTCACAGGAAATATTCAAGATATGATTTATTTTCGGGACCGGACCTTAACAGGGTGCTCAGCTGGTGCAGATTGGTTCTTTGGTTTGTTTTCCTGGCTGTGGGATGTGATGTACATGCTTATTCTGAGTAGCAGCAACACGAAGTGTTAGTTTTGCTTCTATTCTGATACACAGATGTTTCTCCAAGAGATGGATGTGAAATGCTAGGATTCCCAAATTTAACGACAAAGACATTCCACATATTTATTGCTTGGAATGGCAAGAATGGCTACTCACACAGTTGTGCTGTCAGTCAGCTCTCCTGATATCTCAGCATGCCACTCTAACTAGAATCTCAAGTTGGGGGTTATTTTTTGCTGATTCTTCTTGCTAACCATGTCCCTGTGTCTTCCAATCTGTTTTCAAAGCGCTGGTGAAGGCCTTTATGCCTGCTTTCTTTTCTTCCTCCTCTTGTGATAGAGGTCTCTTTGTCTTATCATCACTAGGTGAAGACCTAGAACTTGTTTCCTTAGACCATCAAGCTTAGAGCTTTTAAATCTCTGGAAGTCACAAAACATAAAGGACCTTATCAGCTAGTAAGTGGTAGAAGAGCTTGAGTTCTGGAGTTGGGCAGTTCTGGATTCTGATCCTGGTACCACCTGTGCCACAACTTCCTCATCTGTAAAATGGACTTGGTAATGCCTAACTAACAGGGTTGGCTAACAGATTAGACAGTAATGACAAATGATCGCATTTGTGTGGTAGGCTAAGCACTTACGTGCATTGTCTCAGCCAAACCTTAGAGTAGTCTACCACAGCAGTCTATGAAGTACAATTATTATATTATGGATGGGGAAATTGGAAATTTAAATAACTTGCTCAAGGTCATATAGCAAGTTCTCTGATTTCAGAGTGTTAACCACTACACTGTACTTCATCCCTACCTCTCATACATTTATTTCAGGTCTACCACTGGGTCCAGCATTAACGCCTTTCCCCCTCAGTAGATCTGTTATCACATGCAGTACAGCCATAAAATTTAAGTCTGAAAATATGTAGAGAAATATAAAGAAAAGTGACACTGAGAATGCAAATTACCCATATACTCAGATATGATTTGCAGAAGCATTTCGCTAGAGATATGCCCTGTTGAAAGGCATGTAAGAAACTAGATTGATTTTGACTCAACCCTCAGCTGCAGCTAGAGCTGCTAGTGGTTCTGTGGCTAGAAGTGAACCCAGTGTCCTTTGCAACATATAATAGCTACACTGTCTGAAACAGTCCTTTGGGGGTCACCTAGCATAAAAGGCCCTTTTGGAGTGTCCCCCAGAAATCTCCTGACTCTGGGTCTCCAGCTATGCACTTCCCCCTTCATTCTGTGCACCGCCCCCACCCCAATTCATGTTTCATTCTTCTCTAGGAAGATAGAAGGGATGGTTTGACCATCATGAAGATTGAGCTGTCGGAAGTTCATTACAGGGTGCTATATGAAAGAGGCCTGGATTAAGCTTAGTGTAACATAGATGAGGAGGGATATCTCTAAGCGGTTGACAAAATGCCCTAAAGGACAAGCAAGGTATGTTCAAGCTAGTTTTGTGTTTGTCACTGGGGAGTGGAAATGATGACCTATACTACAAAAATAGGACTGGGCTGGTTTCATCTCTTATATAACGCTTGTTTCATGCTCCCCTTTCTTGAAGGCACTGATGGTGGTCTAGAAGTTTTTTTGTTTTTTTTTTTTAAAGATTTTATTTATTTATTTGACGGAGAGACAGTGAGAGAGGGAACACAAGCAGGGGGAGTGGAGAGGGAGAAGCAGACTCCCCGCTGAGCAGGGAGCCCGATGCGGGGCTCGATCCCAGGACCCCGGGATCATGACCTGAGCCGAAGGCAGACACTTAAATGACTGAGCCACCCAGGCGCCCCTCTAGAAGTTATTTTTGAAGCTGTTTAAATTTCAGCTTAATCACTTAAAGAAGTGAAATGCCTTGCATGAAGTCACCAGCTTATAGGTGGCAAAACTAACTAGAAGCTCTAGTTGATGGTTAAATATTTGTTTTCTTAATGAGAAAGATAGTAGAGTTTGAAAGGCAGGTTGTCTGAATAGGACTTAGGGGAGGCGGTAGAATTATAAAAGGCACCCTTGAAGGACCACCACTAAGAATCTGTCCTTTTGCATGCTTGGTTAACAAATAGTGTTTGGTAAAGAACCTGTGGTAGTCTCCTACCCCCACCCTCCCCCACACTTTTAAGGAACTATTCTTGTTTAGTTTCCCCAAAATAAACTATTAATGAAGTATTTGTTAGATCTTACTTTTGTGGAGCTGTTCATATAGCCACTTTGAGCCTGTTCTCTTCCAGTATTTATGAGTTTACTAATCCTGATACCCTTTGCCATTCAGAGTTGGCTCTTGGTGCTGAATGTTTTTTTGCACTTTTATACCTTCAAAGATTGCCATATTTAAGGATTATTGAAATAATGTAGTCTTACAGCATTTCTCAGAAGAATTATTCAACTCTGTAGAAGTATAATATATTTTTGTGCCCAGGATTCCCCAGGACCCACCCCTACGTCCAGAGATTGGCTAGAAAGACTCACAGGACTCAGCGTGTATAGTTGTACTGCTGGCTAAGATTTACTACAGTGATACAGTAAGAAGTCGTGGCTAG